TGAGGAAATCCTGCTAGTAGGGAAAGGATGAAAATGTGAGCAGTGCCCAAAGGCATCAGCCTCTGTGCTGTGTCCGTGTGTGCTGGGGAAAGCCGAAAAGTCTGAATCTGGAGAAAAATCTGCCTTACAGAATCCAGATGCACAAAATAGATCAATTAGCTTGTGATTTATCCATTGACAAAAAGGTAAACAAATCACCAGACTGCCTTTGATAGCAAAACCATTCAATACCTTGAAAATATGATTTGTTTTATGAATAGCTTTCCAGAAGCACATCTACTGGGTAAAGCTGGGTTAATACTCAGCTATTCGTCGGTGGATTCTTGCATTAGTGGATTATAAACAACCCTGAAGGCTTTGGTCAGGCCCCAGAAAAGGGTCTGAGTGAGGGTGAGATTTAATCTGTGAGTGTTCCTGAGACTCACCCTAAGTGACTGGAGGATTAGCCAGTTGAGGTTTTTCCACCATTAGTGCTATTTATCACCCATGCTTCTTTTTCTCTTCATGGCCCCAAAGTCTGAAAGTCATGTGCACGCACAGATATAAAATCACTTGGAAAAGAAGAAAAATTATTAGCCTAAATCCCCTACTATTTAGTTTTACTAGATGACAGTCCCAAACTCTACTGCTAATAAAATGTAAATTGTGTGCCTAGCACCAGCTGTATCTGAACGCTGATGGAGAGCTCCGCTGTTCTTATCCCAGGACCTGGCTAAAAGCCCCCACTGCCTCCAAGTGTTCACTCATGAATAATTAAAACTTGGGCCTGTATGTATGTCCTGACACATACTGATATGCACGTAACTTCATAGACAAGCAATGTACCAAAACAGAAACAAACATCTTGCATGTGCTTTTAAAAGACCAGTGAATACTTTAAAAGCATCTTTATCTTAAGAATTTGATAGAATCAATATGTGGTGTTTAGCAGTTCCCTCTGGCAACTCTTCAGCCTTAAAACACTGTGACTGTAAGAAAGGGAATGCCTGGGAATATTGGTCGGTCCCTGGCATGCTCACCAGGATAGTCTTTACTTTCAAGTCCCAGGCTATGGACCTGCCATTGTGATGCTGAGCCCCAGCTCCTATTATCACCACAGGGCCTCTGGTCACCAAAAGCTAAATCTGTTTGGAACTTGAGGTTTAGATAGCTCCCTATGTGGGTGCTGCTGCGAGGAGAGTGCTCCTGAACAGGCTTGCAACACCAGAGACAGATAACGGTCCCTTGCCAAAATGATGCTTTGCACAAATGACATACATCTCTTGGTCAGATTTAATAGAGAGGCTTCTAGAGTTCCAACTTCATAGAGAAAATTTAAAAACTAGAGAGCAGAGAAGACAGCAATATTTCTGCTCTTTTTTTTTTTAGATTTTTAAATTCATTTATTCATGAGAGAGAGAGGCAGAGAGAGAAAGCAGGCTCCCTGTGGGGAGCCTGATGCAGGACTCGATTCCAGGACCCCAGGATCATGACTGGAGCCAAAGGCAGACGCTCAACCACTGAACCACCCAGGTGTCCCAATATTTTTGCTTTTAAAGCACCTTTCAAAAATAGGGAAAAAGACAGCCAAACCTCTGCAAAGTATCTTCAATCCACATGCGGTATCTGTTTGCCAACATCCGTGAGACTTGGCCTCAAAGTCCTGCTTGCTGGACCCCAGCCCCAAAGCTAAGAGGATGATGGATGATGGTGACACTGAAGAAGGGAGGCACCTGCTGAGAGATGAAAGTGGAGAGAAACGGAAGCTACCAAAACCATTCTTCCCTGCATTTCCTGGGTTTCACTGGCCCGTTTCTCAAGTAGCTACAAAAGATAAGGCCAGGGCCAGCTGGAGGAAAAAATGCGAAGGATTCAGTCTCTGCGAAATCCACCTACCTCTAATTTCCTCTTCACTGCCTTCCCATCTCCAGGCTCCATCCCACCCCCAGACCTAAGGGAAGCTGCTTCAGTAGACCACTGTCCCAGAAGCGTTTGCACCTATAAGAGCACCTTCGAAGGCCAGAACCAAAGGGAATTTGGCTGTAATTGTGGGCATAGTAGGCATTCTGGGGGATTGCAGGAGCAGGCAGGATATTCCTAGGGCTCCTGGAATATGACTCCCCTTGAGTCTAGGCCAGGAAACAGAGACCCCATGGCTCAGCTTTCCTTTAGGAGAACAGACTGACCTCTTCGATCTAAGTACTCAGCTGTGAATCAGATGCAGTGCCAGCTAGGTGCTCCAGGCTGTTAATCCCTGGGAGGCACCTACAGCTATGCTGGCACTCAGCCTTCTCTGGATTGACTAAAAATCAGGAGGGAGGCCCAGGTATGATGTCCACAATTGTCCCTGAAATCCAAAGAGCTCTTCAATGACACCACACACCTCCGATTTAGCATTTAGGGTGTAGGCATCCATCAGAAGGTGTGGTTTGAGAAACAAGAACCTGGTATATTAGGAAGGATGGTGGGGGTCCTTGGAAGCAAGATCAACAATGACTAGCAACAAATTCTGAGTGATGAGGTAGGACAGATTCTTTCTCAGGGCCATCTCTTCTTGCCTCCGTGATTGGTCTACATGTGCACACCACTGTAGCGAGAAGAAAGAGGGAAAGGCATAGTTTCCAAAGGTCCCTAAGAATAAAACAAAAATTCTCTCTGGAGCTGTCCCCAAAACCAAGAGCATATGCAAAGAGAGTCGGGACTCCATAAAAATGACCAAACTGTGGAAGGACAAGGCATTTAAAATGCAGCAACAGAACTTGGGAGACAAGCTCACAGCCTATTTCCACCTTTCCTTGAGTTTGATTATCTTCATTCTGGACCCTTGAGCCTCACTCTCTTCACCTAACACCTCTGTTAATTCCAATTCCTTTCCCTCACTTAGCCTATAAGACTACTCAACAGCATGGTAAGAAATGGATTCTTACAGTATTTTCCAACAAGAGTCAGGGTCAGATAATGTTGGAAAACATCAATCACATAGACTTAAAAAAATGACTTGCAGAACAGATTTAATTTAAATTCTACTATATGACTAATTCTAATCCTGCTATATGCATTCTTATATTCTTACCATATTTAATGACTCAGTACTAAAGCCCTGTTTTAAAATATTTTCCTTGTCTCTAGCATGTAAATACTATTTTTAAAAAATCTCCACTTGCTATTTCCAGTGAAACTCGAAAGTGTGTTTTAGCCAAGAGAACTTAGTCTACATGGCTCCAGATGAAACGGTCAGTATCATTTCCCCAGGGTGCAGATGTCTTGGACGTACCAATCCTCTTTTTATTCTCATTGTCCGGGGATCGGTTACTAATTTTAATCAAAGGTCAGTCCGTCCTTCCTCAGGACAGCGTGGAAACAGACTTAATAAATAGGCCTCCCTCCTGAGACTAGACGTTAACTTTCTAAAACATAATTAACAGGATGCCAGTCAATGAGTGCACTTTTCCCTTCATGTCTGGGGAGTTTAGGTGACTCCAATTTAACAGGGGCCACAGTGCCAGTTATCAAATTGACAGTCTTGACCTTACTTCTAAAAGTGGCTGCAGAATGATGCCTCATAAATTAAGATAAACACCAAATCCTTCCGAGGAAACAGGTCTATATCACGACTATGAAATGGGCATTCAGGTTGGAGACCCAGCAAGACTTCACAATAAGGATATAAATACCAGCCTGGGAACAAGGGAAGATGTTCACCCAGTTACTGTACATACAAGATAACAGTGACTCACTTCACTCAGCATTACGCTTGGCCAGAGATTTTAAATTCCTTTTTAAAAACAAGACTATTGTACCACCGGGTAAAGATTTTATTATCCTCGATAATGGGACTGAATATGCCAAGGCATAGAAGCAGAAAATTAGATCTGCTGATCCCAGGGCCAAGAGAGGGGTTACTGAAAGCCACAACAGGGCACTTGCGGTGGGCTTTTCAGTGTTTCAGTGGCCTAAAAACCCAGGGAGAGCCATCGGGCAAGTGTCTGCCTCCAGCCAGGAGAAGTGGGAGAAATCCAAGCTAGATCCAGCCTCAAGCAGTAGAATTGAGTCAAAACATGGGCACCTGCCATGCTTCTGCTATTCCAGTGTTACGAATACTAACCAAGGGTGGCAAGGCACAAAGTAGTTAAGGAAAGAGGTTACTGATCTGGCTCTCTTCCTCAGAGGCCATTGCCAAATAGTGCAGAGAAGCCGGCAGAGTCACCCTTTGCTTGATACGTCATCAACAAACAAGCAAAATTGGTCAAACAGGTCCCTGAAGACAAAATGCAAGCTATACACCTGCAAGCGGAATTTTAATTTTTAAGAATTGTAGGGAGAGTTCATGTGAATCGTGTTCCATCTTTCATGTTTCCTATTCACTCAAACTCACTGCTATTTACTGTGCTTCCCTCTATGTCTCAGATTTATTGCTTCCTGGACAGATACTTGGGTGGGGGGGTGGGGGGGGGGAAGAGGCTGTGATTTAGGTTCCTGTCAAAGCTCTAATTAAATACAGTGACTCTTTGTCACTAAAGCCCTCCACTTGGCCAAACTTAGATGAGATGATGAGACTAACGCAGAACCCTCTGCCCACGGCCTTCCTCTGTGCTGACCTCCAGCCAGACCTGTGGGGATGACAAGCCAAGTCATGAGTGGCCAAGAACCTTCTCTGGAGTGTTCTATCAACCACGGGAAACAAAAACTCTGCAAGCTGCACTAACAACCCTGAGCTTTCGCTGTATATAATCCCCAAGAGGCTCAGCTTTCCACAGGCAAAAGTCCATCCGGCATTCTTAAGCCAGAAGGGAGCACGAAGATCTTAGCTCCTCTGTCTTCTCTTTCACTTGCCATTCACATTCAGGATTCATTAAAATACAGGTCTGTCTTCCACAAGAGAAACTCTTGGCATTGACCTGTCATCACCAAGGCTGGTTGTATTTCCCTTGGCCTGGTAGTTCCCCATGACCAAGGTGGTTCCTCTCTTTAAAGAGGTTAGTCTTTTCAACTTCTGATCTGGTCTTTTTCTGCCCCCTCAGGTCATGGATTATATGGGACTTTTGAAATGTTATCCTCCTGGAGGAAAACTAGAGAAGACCAACATGTGAAAGAGAGAACTGCAGCTGTCTATGCAGACTCCATGCTCTCCTTTTCTCTCACCACTGCCATGTACCTGGTCACCTTTGGCATAGGGGCCAGCCCTTTCACGAACATTGAGGCAGCCAGGATTTTCTGCTGCAATTCCTGTATTGCAATCTTCTTCAACTACCTCTATGTACTCTCGTTTTATGGTTCCAGCCTGGTATTCACTGGCTACATAGAAAACAATTACCAGCATAGTATCTTCTGTAGAAAAGTCCCAAAGCCCGAGGCATTGCAGGAGAAGCCGGCATGGTACAGGTTTCTCCTGACAGCCAGATTCAGTGAGGACACAACCGACGGCGAGGAAGCGAACACTTACGAGAGTCACCTATTGGTATGTTTCCTCAAACGCTATTACTGTGACTGGATAACCAACACCTATGTCAAGCCTTTTGTAGTTCTCTTTTACCTTATTTATATTTCCTTTGCCTTAATGGGCTATCTGCAGGTCAGTGAAGGGTCAGACCTTAGTAACATCGTAGCAACTGCGACGCAAACCATTGAGTACACTACTGCCCAGCAAAAGTACTTTAGTAACTACAGTCCAGTGATTGGGTTTTACATATACGAGTCCATAGAATACTGGAACACCAGTGTCCAAGAAGACGTGCTAGAATACACCAAGGGGTTTGTGCGGATATCCTGGTTTGAGAGCTATTTAAATTACCTTCGGAAACTCAATGTGTCCACTGGCTTGCCCAAGAAAAACTTCACAGACATGTTGAGGAATTCCTTCCTGAAAGCTCCCCAATTTTCACATTTTCAAGAGGACATCATCTTCTCTAAAAAGTACAATGACGAGGTTGATGTAGTGGCCTCCAGAATGTTTTTGGTGGCCAAGACCATGGAAACTAACAGAGAAGAACTCTATGATCTCCTGGAGACCCTCAGGAGACTTTCTGTCACCTCCAAGGTGAAGTTCATTGTCTTCAACCCGTCCTTCGTGTATATGGATCGATATGCCTCCTCTCTGGGAGCCCCCTTGCACAACTCCTGCATCAGTGCTTTGTTCCTGCTCTTCTTCTCGGCATTCCTGGTGGCAGATTCTCTGATCAATGTCTGGCTCACTCTAACGGTTGTGTCCGTGGAGTTTGGCGTTATAGGTTTCATGACATTATGGAAAGTCGAACTGGACTGCATTTCTGTGCTATGCTTAATTTACGGAATTAACTACACAATTGACAATTGTGCTCCACTGTTATCCACCTTTGTTCTGGGCAAGGATTTCACAAGAACTAAATGGGTAAAAAATGCCCTGGAAGTGCATGGGGTAGCTATTTTACAGAGCTACCTCTGCTATATTGTTGGTCTGATTCCTCTCGCAGCTGTGCCTTCAAATCTGACCTGTACACTGTTCAGGTGCTTGTTTTTAATAGCATTTGTCACCTTCTTTCACTGCTTTGCCATATTACCTGTGATACTGACTTTCCTGCCACCCTCTAAGAAAAAAAGGAAAGAGAAGAAAAATCCTGAAAACCGCGAGGAAATTGAATGTGTGGAAATGGTGGACATTGATAGTACCCGAGTGGTTGACCAAATTACAACAGTGTGATGGAGTCTGCTTGTTATATTTTCACCCTAGGTCTTATGGAGAGCAAAGAGATTATGTTAATGAAACAAATTCAAAGTTGTTCTTTCTTTTTCAGAAACAGACATTGCCAAAGTAAAGGACAAGGGGGGGACATGGGCATTGCATATTTTCAGTCTTTAAAACAAAAGGATTGCTACCAGAAAGAATTTACACACACACACACACACACACACACACACACACACACACAGTCTCTTAAACTAAGATCTAATAGAAGAAAGCTTATTAGCAAGCAGAATCCTATTTTATTCACACTGCAGATGTTGCTGGTATTGTGACAGAAACCTACTGATTGAAAGGTCAGCTGCCAAGGCAGAAATAGCTTTAAGCATTGTTCAAACAATAAAGCTTCCAGAACTTCTGCAGAGCAGTAGCTCCAGGCAGAGTCTATGGTTTGAGGTCTTAGCCGTCTCATCTAGCTCCCCAGCACCCCAAGGAGATGCTTTCAAAAGTTCTAGCCAGCAAAAGCAAGCCAGAACCTTGGAAGTGACACATGGTAGAGTGGCCAGCATCCACGGAATGAAATTGAGTGATCCCTAAATTCACCCAGGTGAGGCAGTTTTGTTGTCTAGAATGAATAAATCATATACCCCCCCATCAGTATACTTTTAACATTTGTATGATTTGGCTAATACACCTTTAAACCAATGACAGCTCCAGCACTGCAGAATTGGAGCGATTCTATTTTGGAATATCTTGTTGCTTGTCACCAAATGGATCTGCTTTATTAGTTACAGCTCTTGGCAGAAGGCTCTGAGTCCCCAAAAATGCAGAGCCAAACCCAAATACCTGGCATCATGGAGGAAAAGCAAGTGTCTACTTGAACACAGAGGCAGTGTCTCCATTTTAACAAAAAAATATGGCCAGCTGGTACAGCTGTTTGTGGTTTGACCCTACATGCTGTTTTTGCACGGATACCCAGAAGCAACATCTGCCTATGCATAGCTGAGGAAGGAGAAATGAACACTGAAGTGGTTACCTGCCATAGCTTTCAACTGGTAGAGCCAGTCTGCCTTCGCTATGAGACATGGCCGCTCAGAGACACAGAGGAGAAAAGGAAGTTGTCTGGTGAGTGTAAGTCCTGACACTGAGAAACCTCATAGAAGTGCAGACAGGGAGATGAAGGACAGAAGGGGAGACAGACGGATGTAATCGCCAAGACAAACTGATCAATGATGATGGTCAAATGTTCCTGCTGAGCTGGCTGGACTTTCATCTTCCTGGTTCCCCCCTACACCAACACACACACACACACACACACCCGCTGCCGGTGCCCCTCCAAAGCACTGCATGGCCCTTCTGTACATTAACGAGCCTAGATGTTTATACTGTTGACTGCAGTCTCTACAGGCTCTAAACAGAAACACTCTGATTGGAAGAGGCTGTGTATGTCGTCCCAGACTCCAGCGTTTCTTTATGTCTATAAAAATGAAGCTAAATCCTGGTCACATTTGAGGCAAATGTCTACAGTATTTTTCCCTTTTAGAAATGTAGCTTATTTAGACATCTATAGTGGTAAGCATTTCCCAAAAGCACCTTTGCTCTCTGGACCTTAGCGGATGTACTGTGCAACTTCCCCCATCCTCCGCAGAGGAGGAAACTGAGACCTAGGAGAATAAAGCGACTCAGCCGAGGTCACACCACCAGAGGGTTTCCATCTTTTCAGCATGCCTAAGACAGGGCAGGCCACTTTTAGATTTTCCCTTAAGAGGGCTATTACTCCCTTCAAAGTACACTTCCAAGGAAAGAACATAGGACTTTATCGGCCACAAGGCAGACTCTTTTTTTTTTGTTTTGTTTTTAAATGTCTGGGTAATGTTTGGGATTTAGGTTTGCCATTGTCTTTCCAAACAGCAAAAATGCCCAAATGATTCAGATGTAACTGCACCAAGTGCAAACCTGTGCTTTCTATTTCATGTACTGTTGTTCACACAGTTCTGACTACGTAGCTAGTGCATTACACACTTGTTCAGTCTCTCCTGCAGACACACTAAGCGATCATACCAACGTGTTATGCACTCAACTAGAAGATAATGAGCTTTAATCTGGGGACGAGTACAGTCCTCGAAAAAGGGCAAGTTCGCATAATAGATCTGCGATCAATTCTCTCTCCAAGGGGCCTGCAACGAGGCTATTATTTATAAAACACAGCTGAAGAGGGGATTGGTTTTATTCTTAAATCATATGTTGCTAAATCATTTTCCGAACAGTGTGTTCTAAATCAGCCATTGATTTAGTGTCGGCCACGTGGAGCACCTCGGGTTAAAGCAACTCCACAAAACTGATGCGACACACACGCCAATTAAATGGATTTTGTTGAGAATTTAATCATTCAATTTGGTCAACCAGAATGACTTGCTGTGGAACTTTGTTTTATGACAGATAGTAGTTTTCCAACTTGATTGAGTCTCTGTATACCTTGGAATATTGTATTTTTAAACGAAGGGCATTTTCAACCTTGTCAACTTCCCTTTTCAGCACTTGAAATCAAGGCTTATGGAATTCTGACCATGGAATGAATTTTTTTCTACTAGGGGGCTCTGCATGCCAAGATTTATTATTTATTGTTAGATCATGATTATTTATTCGTTAATGATTATTGCTCCGACAGCACTGGTTTAGCCCCACCACGGAGAAGACACTTTAGAAGCAACTCCGAATCACATCCCCATAAAATTTAAGTCTTGACTTCATGAAGTTTTACTTTTTTAATTGTTATAAAGAGGGAAGGAACGATCCTTAGCAAACACTTGCAAAAGCTTTCTTTTTCAATGAACTCCAACCAAGACATTAATGTTCACTTTACCAAAGAAACTTATTTGGTTGGTTTTGAGTTGGTGTTTGTTTACCAAAGAAAAGATTCCATTCATCAAAAATATTTCTCCTGGTCAGCTAAAAAAAAACTGTGATACTTAGGCATTCTTGGCCAGTCATAAGGAAAAAAAAACAAAAGAAAAGTCAGGGTCAGGGTGATATTCTTTATCGAATAGAACTCAGCAGAAAGTGTAAATTCACAAGAAACTTGGGGTTTGCAAGAAAGAAAATGATACTACAACAGGGCATTATTGTTTAGCCCTATGCCAATGGTCCAGCAAGTAGCATGAGGCCTCCTTGGGCTAAAAGGAGTACATTTTCTCCACAGAAAAAATAAGACAAACCCTCGTGAAGCTCCCTCTTCATTGTTCCAGCTCCTAAGTTTTGGTTTGGTTGGGTTATGGGGTTTGAGGTTTTGTTCTGCTTTGGTTTGGTTTGTAGTGTGTGTTGTTGGTGTTTGCTCATTTGGCTTCTGTCTTTCCTACCATATTTGCCCCCTCAATTTTCACTCAGAAGGGAGATAATCAGATGGCATCCTCCATGGCTACAGTTATTTATGCAATATACTGCTCTAAATGAGGCCCTTCATAACCCTGTTATTCTAACTAACCACCACTCAATTGTTCTAAGTGGCACTCCAGGACCATGGCACCACGTGCCCCCAGACTGAGCAGTGGAGCTTGGCTGTGTCTATCTCAAGAACAGGTGGGTTGGGCAGCCACCCTGGGGGTGTGGCAGAGGCAGAGCCTCTTGAACACAAATGGTATCCTCCTTATAATGGCTTTATTCCTTTGGATCCTATTAAAGTAGCCCTGCAGCTTGTAGTAGTGTTTGAACTTTGTGAATCTCTGTTTTCTCATCTGTAAAATGGGGATAACTATCTCTAAATTCATCAAATATACTGAGTGCCTAATATCACCCAGATACCGTTCTAGAGACTGGAGACAGGCAGCGAACAGATCACATAAAATATACCTGCCCTCGGAGAGTCTACATTGGAGCAATGTTGCAGATTTACCATGAGGACCAAGGGAGAGGATGTTCAGAAAGCACTCACAGCAAGGGCTGGTATAGAGAAGAAACTCAAGACATTATTTGTAATTTCTCTATCCCACACAGTAGCACTAGGTAGGGCCCATGAGGTCAAGCTACAGAGAAGTACATTTTTGCAGATTTGGGCACAGAATTAGGGCTACATGAATATGCGATGGATTCTCCTGTTCATTTCAGGGTATTCGGAATTCACCTGGATGACCAATTTGTTGGGGCAACTGTCAAGAGGGCACAAGCTCTGGATGTTGGGGCTGGACCGTAATCCTTGAAAAAAATAGGATATAGGCACTTGGGGATGAGAGTCAGGAGGGAAGGGCACTTGCTATTTAATTACTATGCCTGACTTGATTGAAGATATTTGAACACTCCTGCTGGGTAATTTGCTTTTAAGTTTGTGCTACACAAAAAGCACCAGGTATCTGAACACAAAGGTTCTCACTTCTTAAAAGCATGATAAAGCTGCAACACAGAGGAAAGTATTAAATTAGTACTAGTGGATTCTCTGGCAAAGACCTGACGATGGCTGCAGCCAGCACATGGCAGAGTTCCTCCCTGTGGTGGTTACAACTGTTTCTTTCTGTTTCATGCCAGTCCAGGAGAAAGCAAAGAGGAAAGTGAATGAGCTAGAATCCTTTCACCTGAATAGGCAGTGTCAGGATGTCTTCCCCAGCCTTGCCTCTCCCCTGCCCCCCTTCTGCCCAGGTGATCTGTTTCAAGTCCTCTTTGATATCTACAAGCATACCATGCAAGGAAGAAGAAGGGAGGCAACCAGAGAGCTATGGCCTCTGTGCATATTTTCAAGTTAGATTAAAATTAGCAGGGCAAGCATTCAGAGGAGCCTGCCTGATAGGGAAAGAAGGCTTCTTTTCAAAGTACATTCCTGTGGAATGTGCCAGCCTCTTCTCCCTCCAGAATGTTGACATCAGATGAATCTCTGGACAGAATGAAGCTTACTCCCTCATTTTCCATGTGAGATAACTGAAACCTGGATCAGTGAAATCACATGGACAGAGCTAGTTTGAAGCAGATACAGGACTACAAATTCAAGTCTCCTGGCCTCAGTCCTTCCTCCATTCTGCCACTTTACTGCCAAATTCTATGTATCTAAATTATGGGATCTTAACCTGGGGGCC